TAGTTGTGCTATTGTCGTCTCGAAAAATGATCCCTAACACATTACTATTTTTTTTTTAAGCCGTTCACCAGGCCTATCTAGCGGAACCAACTGTCTATTGTGTCCTCATATATACAATTTGAAAATGGTCATCAACTCATATGAATACTCAGAAATGAGTGATTGCCCTCATGGTAAAGGTGTACATTTATTCTAATTTAAAACAAGCAGTTTAATAAGAAATACTGGGGCTTTATTGGTAGGATTTTTGTCAATACTGATAAACCCAGAAACATTAATATTGGCTGATCAATTTATTGGTCAGTGCCTAGATCAAAGATAACTACTGCTCTCGACATGAGCTCTTACAGTGCCAAAGACGCAGGCTTTTGATGTATTCATAAGAGCTCCATGATTGATTTTTTTTTTATAAGTGCAGACCAAGAAAAAGGAAATATTTCCCTTAAGATCGTAAATCTCTAATATGGGACTGGTTAGGGGAATTTAGGATTGAAGCCAGACTGGACTGAATGCTGCAGTTGCTGGAGACTGATACTTATAGTAGCTAATGGTCCAAATCCGTGGCTGTATATGACACTGTGCTGCTCTGCAGATGCAGAGGATAATAATATTCAATGAGGATAAGAATTCTGTTTCCTTCCCATGAACAGTCATGCACCAAGTGAAAGGAAGGGCTGTGCATGTGCGCAATATGGATCTATTATGAAATTTTAAAAAGAACCCACTCAAACACCATGTAAACTATACCATGTACATCCTCAAATAGATATTATCTATTCCAGGTGAAGTGTTGACAGTTAATCCCTCATTGAAATCTAGATACTTGCACTTCAGGTGAAAACTGACATACCCAACATTCATCACCTTATTCACTTATCCTGGGAGATTCATCACAAGATACTCAACACTTCTCAAGTCTGAACATAATTGCCTTTTCATCGAGCTAAGTGCGTAGATTCAATTAAGAGTTCATTGTAAAGCTTAGTAGTTTTTGAAGAAAAAAAATAACAGATCCATATCAGTACAGGTCAGTACTTAAGGTTTCACCACTGGTATCAGAACTGGAGTAGAAAAAGTGGTATTGTGCCACCTCCAATCCAGATCTAGTCTTTACCATGTGAATATCACATTTTTTATGAAGAGAACTGATATAAGAAAAATAAAAGCTGATTAAGAGAAACCAAAATTGCAAGCATTGTGCAGCTCCTCCCTAAAGTGCTAAAATATTTATATTATTTAAGTCAAAGTTTCATTTGTCTTTTTATTTTTCATTTCAAAACCCAGGGAACCTATAACCTGTGTGTTTTTTTATTTTTTTAATTAGGTTAATCTTGTTCTTGCACGCAAACAGTAAACACGTACTAAGTATACCCTCTGAATAAATGTTCTAGTGATCAATAAACGACCAATGTTTTTCACCTTGCATTCTCCATTCAATGTAAAGTGGGTGGTCTTAATTTTAGGCCATGCTTCTGTAAGCATTCCCCTGACCAATCACAAGGCTGACTTCTCTTACCCTGCCCACAGTTTGAGTCGGACAAATTAAGACGCTAAAGCTAACCCAGCATAACCAAAAGCTACCAAGCTAGACCACCTGTAGCTGCCAGTCGTCTGTTCATTTATCCATACACCAACATTGTTCATATGTCTGTTCCTTTATTCATGCGCTGTTTGTCCATCCACCTGCCCATCCACCTGCACTGGTTCGCTACCATCACATAAAAGCGAGTGGCAGAGCAGGCTAAAAGCGTTATACAGAGAGCTGTCAATCAAGCTGCTCATTAGCCACGCCCATACGCTTCTCACACAGGTCTGATCAGCAATTTTTAAGCTGTGTTTTATCATGTTTTACTCTGGGGAGTGTGAGAACTGAACTGACAGTCATACCAGTTGGTAAAGCACTGTTTAACAAACTATTGCAGTATTAAATTAAAATACAAACAATACTGCAGACAACATTATCAGTTATTGGAATTTTTAGCCTCTTGAAGTCAGTTATGGTCACAAAATATTTATAATAATCAGATCCCAGTGAATAGAGCTAATCATCATGCTACAATTCCAATCCCTTTATTTGAAACAGTCAAACATTTGTACAATAAGTGATTTTGATCAAATATGTTTGATCACAGGACTTTTAGATGGCCAAGTATACAGCCATATACATGCTCTATACATCTCTAACTAGAGGTGGGCAATACGTCAAAATGTAATACCATGATACTTCAGAAAGTTTTTCACAATACATTATCCGTCACAATATTTTTTTCAGTCATCGGATAAGTTAGGATAGACAAAGTAGTGCTGCGTTTTAAAAATACTATAAAAAAAACCATCAATCCAATTACTCCAATTACTTAATGTTTCACACACTGCGCTGAAATAAATCCATTTAAACAATTATGAACCATTTGAACTAATTATGCTCTCTTTTTAATCAAACATGCAGTTGGAAAGTGATTAAGTACTGATGTCCACAATATGCTCAGAAAAGCATATTGTGACATACTGTGATGTAATTTATCAAGATAACAATTGCCCAGCTCTAACTCCGCAGTACAATATGAATGAGTTTCTTGTTATAACGTCCCATTCTAATGGGAAGCTACTAACCAAATGCAGGATATGCAAGCAGAAAATGTTTAGACAGATATGAAAACAATGTGTTCAACTAACTAAACACAAGCGTGACAACTGAAAGAGGGTAAGCAGTGAATCCGTGTATTTACATTTTCTAAAGTGTGTCGAAGTAGTTGTTTTTCTACAGAGTGTATCGCAACAAGCTCTAACGCACCATTTGGCCCCTTGAGAAAATGAGCGAACTCTCTTGTCCTTTTGATGAAATGGGCAAAGTAGCAATTTCACATCTGGGCTGAAACTGATGTCAATTAGTCACAGTCATCCTCTGCTCCTAATGGGCCTAATTTCCGTAATAACACGCCACGCTGCGTCACACCAGGATGGCAGCTCTCTCAAAAAATGACTCGTCTCTTCTAAGAGGACACCTTAAAGCAAAAAAGATTCTGCCGATAAGATATAGAGCAAGGATAACCATGAGAAATGATTCACGTCTTTGACGCACAAATCTAAGCACTTTTATATCTGATTTAGGTCACTATCTTTAGAGTCTGATCACTGCACCATTGTTCATCATCAAAAAAGGAGATTAATCAGCTCACACAAACTCTTGCGTTCTAAAGACAGGTGGTGGAGGTTTATCACTGAACTCTCCTCCACAGAGTCTTTCTGTGCACTGTTTAGGCTTAATAAAGCTTTTCTTGAACAATGATCTAGAAGCCTTTCAGAAAGGCATTCTCCCTGGACTTTGAGTACAGCCAGACCCACAGCTGTGGCTCCAGGTTTGAATTTAATCACATATAATTCTTTCCTTAGCTCAAGCAGAGTTGGAGGAGAGTCCAAAGGATACAATAGACTGTCCTGGCTGGAGGGATGTTGGCTTGAGCGTTGCAGGAGTATGTGCTGCAGCCTGGCAACGCAGACACAGCCACTCTCAGAGTCAGAGTCACACTCTCTCTCGCTCTCTCATACTGTTTGTCTCTCTCCATCTTTCGCTCTCTCTCATTCAAAGTCTAGAGCAAAACACTCCTAACCCCCTGACAACCAGCCTCCATCACACACACTCTCTCTCACACACACACACAAAAACAATGTGTTTCGTTCCAATTTTAGACGAAAAAGCCATGGCTGATATAGTCTCAGCTGGTGACATGGCACAAGCAGGATGTGATGTGTCGTACTGTGCATTTGATGGACAGCTCAGTTCCCACAACACACTGAAACCGAAGATTTTAGCCATTGCGAAAGGAGTAACAAGAAACCTGAGGTCGTACATGGTCACTTTCTTTACAATACAGCAATTCTTCCAAATTTTTTAACTGAATGCACAAAAGACATGCAAATTATGACAGTATTAACAGTCTGGCATGATGAGGACGACGCCACCCATATGGCACAGATAGAAAAGTGTTTGACATCTGTATAGCAATAAATCTGAATGTAAACTGGAAGGTGTCCTGCACCATTTCGATGCCATAAGACAATGAAAACGTGCCAAGCAGTCAGAGCTATTTATGTTACTGACACCTGAGCTAATGCCTACACTCTTAACAGTAAAGGTGCCAAAGAGAGTTCTTTGGGGCTGTGCCGTAGAAGAACCACTTCTGCTTCCTTTGAAGCAGTGGTTCTCAGGGTTCCCTAGACGGTCCACTTTTTTTGCTCCAACCCAACTCGCAGCACATAGTTACAGTGCAAAAAAATAAGAACCGTCTGGGGGTCTCTGAGGACCAGTTTGAGAACCTCTACCCTACAGAACTTTCCAGTGGATGGTTCCATGATCGGAAAATGAGATATACAACCTTTATTAGAGTTTAAAGAACCTCTACATAACAAAAGGCTCTAAACCAGTTTAATGATTTCCTTTAACCGCACCACTTATTTTTAAGGACTTCTCATAAATACTTCCAGAAAGCTCTTTCATTATTATTTCATTATTATAATCTCAAAACCAGGTCCTCTTCACAGAGGCTGTTCAATTCCTTCTCCTCGACCTTGACGGAATATTAGCAGATGAATTCATATAACCGCCTCCAGATAATGCCTCACAGACACCGAGAAACAAAAGCAGCCCTGTAACAGGTAAATAACGGCACCCTCCTACGTCGAGGGCTCTTTTAACACAACTTTTCATTCAGCTTAAAGTGTGAACGCACATCACTGCAGCCCACACACAGCAGAGACAGGCTAGACCCGTCCACGTCCAACGGAAACCACATTATCCCCGCAGAGTTGCACTCGACTAATCTCTTATCTGAGCTGCTCTTAGTTGGCAAGCGAGTCAAACATGAGGAGCCACAGACGACCTTTCTCTCGAACAACGGCGGCTGACTGAACATCATCTCCTCCTCAAACAAAGCCACGGGTCTCGGTACTGATGTTCCAGCTCGAGTAACGGCTAAGTAAGGCTTTTCCCAACACCTTACCTTGCTGGATCAAAGCGGTGGCCATTCCGGACAGGACCACCCAGTACATGGGGTTCTTCATGGCGACTCGACCGGCCGTCCGTCTGTTCTGGAGGAGAATGTAGGTGTTTGTTGTTGTTGCTGCTGTAGTTGCGGTGGTTGTTGTTGTTTTCGGTAAACACGAGCGAAATTCCTGCGCGGAGAGAAAGTGAAGCGGAGCGCAGCGCTGTTCCCGCTCAATCCCAGGCTTCCGCTGAACTGCGAAGCGGACGCGGAGGCGCGCGCCGAGACGTCCCTCCTCCGGCGCGCTCATTGGCTATGGCCGGCGCGAGCGCGCTTTGGATTGGCTTTTTAGGGTTCCAAGCGTGAGCTTCGTTTCTTTTGCGGTACGACCCACGCGCTGAATGGACTTGTCAGAAAGCACCTTTCGAAGCAGCGCTCGAGCTCTCCTGTTAATAAACTCTCTCAAAAACTAACTGTAAAACCAATGTTTACAGCGAACTCCACACCGGTGGGGTTCTCACATTCAGCATCCTGCAAGGGGAGTCCAGGTAAAGTGGGACACTGTTTGTCATCAAAATAACCCACTAAAAACACTCACTCCTGCCTGAAGTGCCATTACGTTTTTTTAAAGTGGTGCTTATCCGCATTTCTATGCGGAAATCTGTTGTTATTTGTTTCCCATCGGGTGCTGCATCTGCTTAAAAAGGGTCTGAGCCCCTGGTCTCTTTGCTTGACAATTTAAAATGCATCACCAAGGACAAAATGCATTAAGACTATACACATTTGGTGGTGTTTGAAATCATTGTCAGTACGCCTACCTACTCATTTCAACATCACCTGCATCATAAAACAAAGAAAATGCTATTCCACAATGCTTGAGAAATGTACAGCCTTAATACTTCAGAATATGAATTCTTATGCCAACATCTTTACCTTTTTTCACTTTTGAGTAGCAAAAAAAAATGGCTATATCTGTGTTGTAGACATGCTGACCTCTGGTTCCTATTACCACCACTGTAAAGACAATCAGATGATAGTGCATTGTAGAGAAACCTATGCCACATCAAACCACTCTGACTTTATTTACATCTCAATGACTGAATTGTGCCGAAGCTTTGAAAAATCTGTGGAATTTCACTCTAAATTCATGTCTAGCACATGCACAGTAACATCTGAGTAATGTTTGTTGCGATTGGCTGACGAAAGCATACAATAGTGGCGCTGAAGTGTCCCACTTTACCTGATGTCCCTATTGAGTCTGGGCTCCTTCTATGGTTCAGTTTTCTTGAGAGGGAAGCCCTGGACTACACAGGATTCTGAAAGAGATTTTCCACTGAAAGAAAAATGTAGTCCAGAGGACGAATTACACAAACTTCCTATCTTTTTACCTGACTTGACAGGTCAAGATAAGATTTTTTACAAATTCATATTACAGAAGCAAATCTTAATTTCACAATCAACTGTCATGTCGGTTACCTAGTAACCGACCACTGCCGCATAGCTAAAACGAACACAATCAAAACAATGTTACAGCTGCTGCCAAAACATAACTTAAGTGCAATATAGCGGAGATTATGAATATTGTGACAGCACCCCAAGCTGTTTATCAGGTCATCTCTACTCTCCAGCTTCAGTTTCCATTTTCCAAAAACTTCAGCCAACAGTACTAACTTTATTTCTCCTAATGAACACACATTCTCAGCCGAGTCTCCTCATTATTCATCACTGTAATATTTTATCTGATGAGTTTTCATCAGCATTATCACATGAAGGTAATAAGGGGAAATTGTGGAGATCGTGTCTGCAGTGTCTGGGATTTTTTAAATGCAGTGTAAGACCCTCAAACATTAAACCACTGTTTTGCAAAAAAACATAAATGTAATGTAATTTATGCCATTAGTGAACTATGCTGTCTGTCCCAGTTACTTTAAAGCAGTAGAAACAGATGATTAAAACTGAAGTTAGGACACTACTGCACTCTCAGAAAAAAAAGGTATGAAACTGTCACTGGGGGAGTACCCCTTTTGTCACTGGGATGGGACCCTCAAGAATACATCTTAGTACCTTTAGTCAGGGACCATAATTGTACCATAATCCATTGAAATTATATTTTCTAAGTTGTATTGACTCCACACACCCCGTCTCGTCTCCAAGCTTTTTATTTTATTGGTCTGTTTTAAAACATTAGGTTTGAAAATGTTCAAATACGTACCTGTCACTTGGGAAAAACTTACTTAAGGTTCACAGTTGGACCTTAGAACCACTGTTGTACCTTTGAAGGAACATGTACATTGTTTGTACCTTGAACGAAAAATGTACCTGCACAGAACCTTTATTTCTAACAGTGCGGTGTTGTCCTAAAGTTAGGACAGCATTCAGGAAATTTTGTCTAGTTAGGATGTTTCTGTAATACAGTTTTCTTAACTGGAGTTAGGATAAGATTATGGACTTAGGAGCTGTTGTTCTGTAATGACTACTATCCTACATTCGGTCCCAACAGAAGTTGTCATGGTGACAAAACAGATAAGATTTCAGAGTTAAGATGTTTCTGTAATACAGCCCCAGGACTAGGCTTAATCCCTGTCTGGGAAACCGTTCCTATATGTGTAACACTATCAGTAGTCAGATCTTCTCCTGAAAGTTTCTCATACACTTTTAACATCAGTCATTCGCTTATCTGATGGATTTGTCCTCTGTATGACGCGAGCTGCTCATTCAGTCCCTCTATTTTTTAATCTAACTTCAGTCATCAGACATGACAAGCTAATAACAGTTCTTCTTAAAACACACACAGTTTTCACGAAGATTCTGATGTTTACCAGTGTTTTCTTATGTGGGATCTGTTCTTAGGTAAGAACAGAATCTATGCACACTCAGGAGCACAAAGGTGTGCATTAAGAACGCATCATGAATCTGACATAGGTCCTAAGAAAAAGTCTCTCAAGAACAAATTTAAGAAAAACTTAAGAGGGTATTGGTGAATGAGGCCCAACCATTTTACCCTATTATAATTTACAGTTTAGTAATGCACAATCCACACTAGACCAACAGTAAAGAGGCCGATATAGAGTAGACAACAGTAAACCAGTAGCAAGGTTAAACAATAAGAGGGTCAACTAATACAAACAACTGAACACATAAACTTACTCATCTTTGCACAGACAGCAAGAGACATTCTTACAAAAACTTTACAGATATGGGCTGGATATGCAGAGGGACTAATGAGTTTCAGATTGGAAACAAGCATCACACTGCAAGACACAATTATATCTCGACAAGTGAAGTCAGAGTTAATATTTCACATTGAGAGACTGCTGTAGAAATATTACAGCCAATTTCTAGACATTTTTAACTTTGTGATTTTATCTAGTGAAATTGCCTAATTTTATTAGTAGGTACTTGCGCTTGTTTTAAGCATTATTATCTGTTAATTATTTAACGCTGCACAATTATCTGATAATATTACTAGATTGTGATAGACAAAATGACTTAAAACAAGTAAAATGTCTAGAAATAAGTAGAGCTGTCTTCTTATATTCTTACAGTAACCTCATCATGAGGAAAAAACATACAATATAGACTACATTTAAGATGATTTTACTTGCTATGATATCTTTTTTTGCGGTGCAAGGATTTCTTTCAGTAGTGCTTCAAGCGGGGAGACAAGCTGCTGCTCTACCCCAGATGAACTCAGAACTTAACAAACTTACTCTAATCAAACTATGAAATCATAAACTGCATTCAAACCCTAGTGCCCTTTTATTAATGACAAGAGCCTCTTTTTTATTTGCTAGAACGTATGAATGAAATATTGAACACTTGGGGCATGAACTACATAAGTTCAGAAGAAAATTAAAAAGGAAAATAGGCTACGTAACAGCATGGAAATACTCTAGTTTTACAGAGCTGAGGCTGGAAAGCTTTGTGAACTCTTGCAAAGATGTTTCTTTTTTAGCTCTTTAACTGTGCTAAATAGCTGTAGCCACCCCAGTTATCATCACTTTTTGTGAGCAGAGTTTAGTTTTCAAACTAAAATTGGTGAAAACTCATGATGAAAGTGTACTGAGTACAGTCTTAAAAGTCTTAAAGGACAACTGCTTTGAAACTCTGAAATCTCTAGAGTTATTTGCAAGAAAACACAACAAAAACTCCTAAAATGCAGTTGTTCTGTACTGGTGGTGTAATACACTGGTGGGGCTATAGAGGAAGTATTTTTGATGATTCTGTACTGAAATAGTTATGTAACGAATTTCCAAAAAAGGAGAATTTGTTTCTGTAAACCAAGTTGTCCTGCCAAGCACACCAGACCTAAAACCATAACCATGTGTGTCTTGTCTGGAACTTCTATAATTTCTTTTATAGTTTCTCTTATCACAGCATTTTCTCAAAATATATTTGTACTTTCCTCAATGTCTGCCACCTTTTAGCTGCAACTTCCTTAATCTATAAACATATGATCCAGACCACATGTCTTCTAGAAAATGCAGTCACCTAAGTATAAAAAGGCTGTTCTGATTCATATTAAACCGAGCGTGCCTCTGAACATTGGCGCCTCGGTGTCATTTATTTTGATACACTCCTCGAAGGAGAACAAACAGGTTCAGTGGGGTGAAGGTGGGGTCAACACACTATATGATGAAACATACTAATCTTTATTGATCCTGATTAAATTACATATTTTTATTCAATTTTTTAATTAAATGTATTAAATTTTAATGAACAATCATTTAATGAATGCACTGTCAATGTAATATGTGGATACAATATAAGTAGCCAGTGTGTACATTTCCTATAAGTTATGCAATTTTCATGCAAATGTTTTGGTTGTCAGCACCCTATGGTATAAATGTGGAAGGTAATTAGGCTTCATGCCATTCCAAATACGTCCATTTGCTCACTAATTAATGTTTGAGATTCATGTTTACTCTGTTGTATGATTTATTGTCGAGCTAAGTCTGTCTCCGTCTTTTTTACAGTTCACTCAACATGCTTGTTTTGCCGAAACAAGGCTCTTCATTTGTGGCAGCTGTGGGTGAATAGTTTTTAAGGTTATAAAGAATATCAAGTGGGTTTCCTTTGCCAATTAGGGAATCAACTGAACAAATAGCTCTTTCACACAGGGCCATTAAAATGATGCAATGCTTTAAAAATGTTCACTTAACATGTCAGCCCAATGCCCTGCAAAAGGAGCCTAGTGGCAGTATTAGTAATGCACACTAATGATTTGTTTTTTGCTTTGAGTGGGGGGCTTCAGTTCAGAACCTAGGATGTGCACCCAAAAATGCACTTTGATTACATTCTGTCATCCTTGCAAGGGCAATTTCA